TTTAGTAATTTAGATTACTTTCCAAATAATTAAGAAATTGTAATTTTTTTGGCAATTCTATCAGCAAAATTAATTAACCTGTTTGATGCTTAATAATTCCTGTGCTTTTCGTCGAAAATTTCTGAAATTTTGAAGGGAGATTTGTCTATTAGGGGGATTGATGCTATTAAATTTTGTTAGTTAAAGGTCGAGAGTGTGGGGAAATAAAGAGTGTCGGGTGCATCTCTAGTATCTCTAGCATAATGACGCTTTTACTCGTTATTAGTATTTACAATTTTTTATCAAACCTATCTATATCCCCAAAATTAATCATTTTTAATTTTACAGTTATTGAAAATGTAAAAAGTTTTTAAAATGGCGCCACAAAATGTTGCCGGAAAAGTTAAGCAACTCGTTGCTGGATTTTTGAATAAGTTAACAAGAGGGGTTTCCGATATAGATGGACCTTTGCTAATTGTCTTTGGCCTGTTTTTCCTTCAAGTAATCTTCATCAATAAATACATTGAAAAATTGCATTACTTAGCAATGTAAGTTTAAATTATTCTTAATATTTTGCATTTTTTAAAGATCTAAGTGAACAAATTCTCGAGAAATTTTTCATGATTGCCAAGCCCGTTCCTCTATCATCTGAGCCTGGCCGAACCCACGATGGATATGATACAATATAAGAAAGAAATGTTCGTATACGAACATTTCTTTCTTATATTGTATCATATATTGTTCTTTGTTATATTTGTTATATTGTATTATATTGTTCTTTGTTGTTGTTTCGACAACAACAACAAAGAAATGTTCATTATCTACGATTTTTTCCGCTAATGGCAGTATTAGAATATCAATGTAAGTAATCTAGAACAGTGTTTCCACAAAGCGTGTTCGGAGGTAATCCAAAATGTTGAAATATGAAATAGCGAAAAAGCATGAATTTCATCATTATAATTTAAATAAAATGTCTTATTACGTATTTCTGCATGCTACACGTGAATTTGGTCAGTTACTACGATGGAAATTGTCTTATAAGCGCGAGATGGAAGGTGGACTTCAAAATAAAACTACAGATCTAATTATTTGTGTAAGGCAACGCAATTTGTGAGCGATCTGCCGAGGAGGATGCCCCTGGAAGGACTTTCGATGAGAAACTAGCCCCTATTTACTCGTTAGAAACGTGAAGAAAGCGGAAAACTCCACATGGCCGGCAGGCGAGAATCTAGCTAACTATGTATTCAGTGGTACCACTCGACCAATGATGGGTTGCAGATCGGATACGAGTGGACAAAACTACAGAACTCTGGTAGTTGCGGGTTCGTGTCCACGTGGTATTATCCGGGTTTTCTTCACCTATATAACGGGAAGTTTCCCAATGAAATTCCTTCCTGTGTGTTGCGTTGCGGTATCATAAAAGCAAACTCTAGCTGGAAAAATTCCAGAAAATGTTATATAAATTCTAAATTATCTACAGACAAATGTTTTATTTTTTCTAAACAGAATCGTTGTATTTCAAGATGAAGTGGGCCATAAAAATAAATAAAAATTTGTTGTTAAAACAAGTCATTAGCTTCATTGAAGCTATTCATTTATATAACGATAATTGGTTATAATAAGCATAAAATGACGGTGATGTTTATAAAAAAATAATCCTTACTTTATAGAAAAAGAGCTAAAATGAAGTATTGCATCATAAGATTTAACAAACGGGACTAATTCTGTAACGGCTTATCTCATCCGATGACTCATCCATTTGACTCGGAATGAGTGAGATGTAAGGACAAATGACGTTTGTTAATAGGTACACAACTTACAGCTGTGTACCTATTTTAACTTCCTAAACATTCTAACCGTTCATGAAATTGTCGGTTTCTAATTTTTAACTTTGCATAAAATATAAGCGAATATTCAAAACTTTTTATTAAAATAATATTTATGAGAATAGTATTAATTATTTTAATGAAAACTCTGTGTGAAAAATAAAGTAATGCACGTGTTTTAAGGGTATTCCAGGCAATGTTGCCACGTCTACCGAATTTTCGGTAGATCTACCGATCGAAGCACCAAATCTACCGAAAAGTTTACGATAATTCAAGAAAGAAATTTTTATTTTCAATGTATCTAAAAATTCTTAATAAAACATTTCTTTGTACCTTCATTTCTTATATATTGTAAGAGACTTTATTGCAAAGACTATCTCGTTTTGTTGAGAATATCTTCTGTCTGTCCCATTCTTCAGCTAATGTAGAAAGAATATTTTCGTAAATAAATCTGTTAAACACGAAACAAAGAAATAAACTGAGCTCTGAAACAATCACTGGCTTACTTCTTACTAAACAATTAATTGGAAAAAATTACTGTTACGATTTTCCTGTAAAAGCTAATTTAATCTCAAAAATAACAGAGTGTTAAAAAACATACAAACGGAAGATATTGAATAATATCAATAATTATTATTATTATTAATATCCGAAAAATAAAAGGTAATATTTTGTTAGAAAAATAAGACAAAATGTACCTACTTAATTAGTAAGTGATTATTTTTTTTACGTAAGTGTTCTGTGTTAGTTTTTTGTTTTTTATTGTTTTATAGTTTATAATAAAATAAATGACGAAAAAGAATGTCATTGTTTATGTGCAACCTCCTTTCTGCCACAAAAATTCGATTTACCGAAAACTACCGAAAATTGCCTAAGGAATCTACCGCAAGCAAATCGGCATGGCAACATTGATTCCGGGTATAGTTTGAGTATTTTTTAATTATATCAAGTGCGGGTGATATTCGTATTTCGTGAGAGGCTAGAATGATAATGGTACCTCGTACTTGGAACGCTTCTGGCAGCCATGTTTAAGATGTCGAAGTCGACAGTGAGCGATCAGTTAATGCAATTTTCATTTTATTCTACAGTATTTACGCATTTTATTTATTGTTTCCGTGTTTTAGTTTATTAGCGAGGTTGCGGCCGAAGTTTTCACCTCTAAAACGTGAACGTCGAGCGCTGCTTACAAGATAGCGGCGCTAGACGTTCGACTATCACGTTTTATATATGAAAACTTCGGCCGCAACCTCACTATCAAGGCATTCTGTAATTGTGTTATTTTTACCTTAAATTATGTGTATTTGCTGTTTTAAGTTTATCGTTAAGGGTCTAGGAGTGGATCAATTAGCTTTTCATTATTTCTAATGGGAAAAATTGATTCGTACTTCGAACGATGCAGTTTTGGAATGAATTAAACTCGAAGTACAAGAAACCACTGTATTCAAAGTGAAACTCATTGATTAATAACGAGAACAGAAGCTAAAGGTTTTTCCTCTTTTATTTTTTGTCTGTAACGGCTTACCCATTTACATTGTTTACTTATATTTTTCTGGCCGATTACTTCAATTTCCGTCTTTATTATAAGGTAGGGTATGCCAGTACGACTCCACACACAAGTGGCCAAGTAAATAAAACCATCGACTACTGGTAGTTGGTAGTGAGATCGCACGTGGAGCTTCCCGGTTTTTCTTCACGTTTGTAACACTAAAATAGGGACCAGTTTCCCATGAAATCCTGTAATTCTTTTGGAGGACTTTTAGTGAAAATTGGTCTCCATTTAGGTGTTACAAACGGGAAACCAAGAAATGACTAAACTCGCACTAATACTCTAAGTGGTGTCGTTTCTTTGGGGAAAAGTTCGAATCGGTCAGATTAGAGTCGATAGATATACTGGTCTCTCAACTCCCAAAAGCTCTAATGCTACGAAAGTGGAGTAGTAAATATTTCTGCCACTTAGAGCGCTGTGATCGCTTTGCGGCGAGCCAAACTTTCGCCGCAAATCGATAACAGCGCTCAAAGATTCTATAAAGGTTTAACTTTAAGTTCGTATTTTTTTAATTAAAATATTGCGTGAATTATTGAAGGATGCAGTGACAAAGGAGATACGGTATATGTTATTTAGGATTGATATTGTGTTTATTAATCAGATAGAAAGTAATTAAAGTTGGGCCAAAGACAGGTTAGGAACAGATTAGAGAGGAGAAGGATTAAAAGTCGATTTTCATATTTACATGCAGATAATGAATTAAAGATTGACAAATAGAATAAATGCAAGATGCCAAGAACCAAACATTATTATTAGATATTGACAGTGATAGCAACGATACAGAGTCTAAAAGACATGTTACCTGATGATATATCAATATATATAGACCTTCATATAAACAAGGAAAGATGCATTTATATTCTTTTAATCGTACAGAATATCTTATAAACTACTAAAATATGTAGACACAATGTGAATGTCATAAGAAAAGCAATTTCATATGTCAAAAATACAAAGTGTATGACATCCCAAATATTGTTTATTATTTCTGAATCAAAAGCAATTGGAAAAATTCGAAGGATAAGCATCCCCCGTACTAGTTACCATTTCCCATAGGGAATCTCAACTCATTTACCCTCAATTATGTGCACATAATTCTTAATCAGAAATCTTTCATCAAAATGCAAGTCGCATATTCGCGATTTTCTTGAGAGATTTAATTAAGTCATTTCGAAGAATTATACGGTAAAAAAAAAATACTACTACTCACCAGATTTGCAGTAGCTAGACTTACACCCAGTCACAAAACACTTATTTGGCATGCTGTTGTTTATTTTCTCTCGTAGGAAAAATTATAAAAATGCTTGAAAATGGCAAAACTGTCTACTTATCAAATGGATAAAGTGACTCGAGTGCCAGCAATCGGCAACTTGACATATTAACTCCGCTTTAGAACGTAGCTAAGACCAATATCTGTAGACTAAGGTCACATTAACAGTCCAAATTTAATTGGCCATAATGAGGCCTACCACCTTTTTTGAAATATTCTCAAAATTTCGTTTTATTTTATAAAAAATGTATTTTTTTTAATTTGAAGTATGCTGACAGGTGATTTTTCATATTAGTTTCATCTACCACATCCTTTATATACTTTTGTATGACCTTTTATTGTACGTACGTGTTTTATCAAGCGTGTTTCCTCCCACGCGAAGCTAATTTGCATAAATTGATGATTTCGTAGTCGTTGGAAGATGCTTATCTCCAGGTTATATCAAATATTGCTAATATTTAAAGCTGCAATTACGAAACGGTAACTAAAAAGTCAGTTTTTTACACGTAAATTAAATTTCATTAGTAGTCAGTCCATTATATTTCATAGGAACAAGGGCAGAGCTGATCAATCACAATACAGATTTCAGCAATCTGTCATTAATACATCTGGACACACACATTCAGCTAATACTTTAAATATCAGCAAATTTAACAAACTAAAAAATATAAGCACTTTTACAATTTTGTAAGCAAACCGGTCATTCCCCGTTTGAAATAAAACGGGCTATGTTATTGGTTATTCAGGTGTCCTATTAAATCTGTTTTACCAGGCAACGGGCCCTCTACATTGTTTGAAAGTTTGCTATTTATTACAGTAGATTCTCGTTAGTTTATTAACCGTTTACTATTAATCCACTATTATTTTGAATTAGATAAATTGAAACAATTCAACGTTTGCATTTATATAAACACATTCACCAGAACAAAGTAGACAAAGTACTGTACTCCATTATTCATATTTGCTGTTAACTGTTCTAAGAAACGTAACCTGACAATCTTTAATCTTATATTATTGAAAATTTTTAATATAACAAGGTATCTAATAATCCTGTAACTGTTGGTGTTGTAATGATCTGTGTTTTATTCTTCCACAGCTAAATTACGACAGACTAGATGAATAAATTCAAGATATTTGATAGTGAGGACTTATAGTTAGCGAGAAGTTGCAGGAGTTTAGCAGGTTGCATCCATTAGTATATTACACATTACCATAACATTATAACATTAACGATCACTGAAATGTTGCTCGCGTTAATTTTAATCAGTATCAAAATTACATTTTCATTTATTTTATTACAAATATTAACAAGAAGTAACCTTGGACTAACAACTCTATTATAGAAGAAAAATAACTTCTAAACAAAATTATTCTTTTTTAGTATCAATATATTCAAATTTATTTACATTAATCATTTATGGAGTAAAATATAAAACTGACCAAAAGAAACATGGCATAGGTAAGTAATCGTTGTGTTCGGAGCTTCCGGGATCGGCATAAAATGGGGCTTTTGAGAAATTAGCTAGATTTTCACATGAGTAAAAGGCCTCAACCCCTCTGAATACAAATTCAAACAATTCGTTTCTCCTTATGAAAACAGGCGGATGAAGTTCAATTATTCCTAAGGGATCGTCGACAAGTTTCCTGTATCTGATACTATTTTCTACAACAATTATAAAGTCTCCTCTCCTCCTGCAGTCCCTCAGCAGAACAGAAGTAATAAAAATGGCTTTATTCTTCGATCTGAACCTGACTTGCACTGTTGATAACGCATTTTTATGCTTATTTTGGCAATAATTGACTAAAGTGTTGTCTCTGATGTAAAGATCTTCGATTTTTTCGGGGAACGGTTTCCTTTTCTCCCTAATACGACTGCCAAAAGGGAGGGGTATCCTCGACTTTTCGTCGGCGATCCTGTCTAACATCTGAAAATTCTGTTGTTCCGTGAAGAGTGAAGATTTGGCGGGCCCCTCTCTGTATTGCTTCTCTGTCATGCTCAGAAATCTTATTTTATCAAGAAAGGGTCTCATCTTCGACAAGACATCGGATGGAGTTATATCAATTTTCTCTCTTATTTCTGTTTTGGCCCAGTAGGCCAAGGCATCGAACAGCTGGACTTCATTTTCTACGTTCATTATATCCTGCGACAGTATGAGATCCAAGGTGGAAGGTGGCAGCCCTCGAATCTTGTGTGCTTTAAATATCTCACCCGCTTCCTTCAGGATAAAGTGTAATGTCTTCAGAATTAATTTTTCGTTCTGGACATCGAGTGCTTTTTTGTATACGTCACAAACATTGTCTATATTCGTATGCTCTAGGATGTAACTAACAGCTAAATCACAGAGAATCGGATATTCGAATCTCTCCGCTAATTTTAGGAAGTTCCAAGCCTGTTTCAGGTGTAAAATTTTAACTTGATTTCCACGTGCAAAGCTGTAAAGATAAAAATTCCATTAACGAGTCAGTTACGTTTATAAAATGCGCAAGTCATTCTATACATATAAGAATACAATAATTTAGTATAACAGTATAGGGGAATTGTTTTAGTAGTTAGGAGAATGTATATGCTTGAGTTCCATTTTATACTGATGTAGCCTATAATTATAAAGATCATTTAATAAATTTAGATAATATATGAATAAATTATGAGAGTTTATACCAGTACTGTTTGTTCTTTTGTATGTTAAGTTCGCATTACAATCCATGTAAACGCATCAATCGTCAGAATTTATTTCTGCAAGTTATCAAATACAGTCGAATCTCCGATAACGGCCATTTTTTTCAATGACTTTTTTTTGTGGAACAAAAATTAAATACAAAATAACATACAAATAACGTACAATTTTTTACAACATTTCTGTCCGTGAACATTGTTAAGAGGTTTGACAGTATTCAACACGCACACACACGTGCGTAAATTATTAATATCGATAAAGAAAAACAGAAATACGCTAGTGATTGATGAAAGTAGCACTAAATGTTTATTAACTGAAATTATTTTCATGGTACAAAATTCTTTCATTAAATTTGTGATTCGAAATTAAATCGAACAACAAATTATGCAGATTTATAAAGAACAAACCTTATAAAACGACTAAAATATAAAATACATTTCGGATTAAAAATATAAGAAAACTGGTTGCATATTAATGTGACATTGTCACAATTCCGGGTTGCAATTTTCAATCATAATTTTAAAAATCACGCGATTTCCGTCCAGACCTTAAGATCGTATATAGTTAATCGGAATCATATCTGTTCTCGATTTTCATCTAACCCCGTTCTCGAGATTAAGGATAGACAGACAGACAAGTGAGAATCTAAGTCTGCAATTTGAAGCTAAATGTAAGCTAAATTCTAGAAATTGTGTGTGGTTCTGTTAATATGAAATTTTAAAAATAAAATTTCATAATTATTATAAAATAGTAGAAACCTTATTTTGGGGGTAGGGATAAGTTTAAAAAAATCGCAAATCTGATTCCACTTATGATACGACATATGACCTCCTCTATCTCTCCACCTACCTCGACCTTTAACCACCAAAATTTAATATCATCAATGCCGATACAGAGAAATAACTCTGCCAAGTTTCGAAATTTTTGGGTCATTCCAGTCTTGAGATATAGTGCAAAAGAAACACACAACTTTGAAAGAGAAAAATTTTCGAGTTACAGAAACTATAAATGAAGTCGTGAATATCAATACAAATAATATAATTAGACTTCTTTCCTACATATGGGAGCAGCAAAATATTTCTTCTTGACAGGATTATTTCTTCATGTCTATCGCTTACTTTTTTATTTTGACAATGATATGTTCAGATTGGGGAGAAGAAATCCTTAGTCTGGATGACATTTCCTAGAGTATATTAAAATAAGTAAATAAGTAGGCTGGTAAGTGTCAACAGAGCTGTGTTATTGTCAGACCTTAGAACGACACTTTTTCACCACTCACTGCTGTAATTAAGTCCCATCTTATTCGATATACTCGACATATTTTGATGAAAATTTCAACAAATGGATCACTCCATGAATCCTTGAAGTAGCTGTGAATTACAATTTGTTTGCAATGAGAAGTTGTACATCATCAAATTACATGACTTTCCAACAGTCAAAGTGGATTCCGATGACCTTAATACAATAGATAATTCTCATAGTTTAAGGTTTTCGGTTTATCGCCCATTATATTTAGTGCCATAAATGGTGGTACTTAATTGAGTTTTGACTGTATATTTTTTTCCCTATTGTAAATGCATAAATTAAATTTTCATTTTCTTCCGATAAATATAGTGACAACCCGTAAGTAAAAAGATACCATGAATGTTAATAATGTAACTCCAAGAAATACATTGCCATATTGGTAAAGGGTCTTCTTTCAATATTCTTCGATGGGCTAATGGGGTGGGAAACACTGTGTTCATGGATGATGGAGCTTCTTGTCACACTGCCAAAAAGATCCAGAATTGGCTGGCGACAAATATAGCCACAAGCTTCCATGGGCCGTCTGGAATCTGCTGGATCGTGAAGTGCGACGACCTTAGCGAAAATCCGCTTCCCATGGAGAACTTTTAGATTGTTTGCGTGAAGAGTGGTCCAACATTTCACAGACCAAGATAGCAGAAATCATTGATTCTGTGAAGGTCCAAAACCCTTTCGTTTTAGAACAGTATCACCCCTCTAAACCTCGAGATTAGGTGAAAAGGGAAACAGGGGGCCTTCTGCGGTCGATGACCGAGACGATCTCCTCGAAAAAAATTGTTAATATATCTATAAAAGAAATATTCTCTATTTGTTTAACGGTAATTCCATAGACGTTAATATCAACAAGACGGGAATAAGAGATGTTTTTTTACCCCTCTTTGGTTGCACGTGACACGTGGTTACAGCAATAAATTGCCTCGTTCGTAGTCAAACGCGACGTTTGATATAAACAATATCTAGAGTGTTGATTAGTTTACAGAAAGTATTGTCATATGAATGTTAATTTATGGATGAGAGCCGTCAAACCTATAGAATTTTATATTGTAAAATCATATCTTCTAGACACTGGTATCAATAAATTAAACAAACTTCTCTGTGCCAGTGGTCTGTACTAGCTAGATCCAGACATCAACACACGAACAGGTGTGCGTATAAATCATTAATGATGTCATAGTTCTCACCCCCTCAAAAATAGTATAAAGAGAGCTTGGACGTAGTCCACAAGGCGGACACCTCCAGGGCGGACATCGACTGCCACATCTATTGACCAATACCGCCACCCTATCCGTCGCTACCTCGCCATAACTACCGTGACGATCCAGGAACGTTTTTACCAACGACCCATATTACGGATCGGGAATTTAAAGGTATTTTTTTTTGTTTTATTTGTATACTCTCTCTCTCTGAGAAGTCTCTCTCCTAGAGATCTCTCTCTCGTCTATTAACTTAGAGAATAGAGATTAGATGTTTCATATGAAAGACGAATCATTGTCGCGACATAGAACAGAATTTTTGTAGATCGTCACCTTAGCCTTTGATACGTACAATTTTATAGTTGTTTATTAAATGTGTTATTCTTGTTCAACCTGTGTATTCATTTGGGAACCTGTCAACTTACTCATTAACCTCTGACAGAGCCGCCGATAAGTGGGGACAACTAACCCCTCGGTTCTCAATTCTATGCCCAAACGGGATAAGATTTTGTGGTTTTAATATGCCTATGTGGCATTTGTATCGCGTGAATGCTGAAATAAAGCCTAGTATCCGAATATAAGGTGTGTCTATTGTTTATGGGTTGTCTCTTTACTGTATATATGATAGCATATAAACGTAAGCACGCATTAAAATGCTTTGGAAGAGGTGTTATTTTAAACATGATTATCATAATATTAGAATTTTTCTAATAATTTCGGAAGAAATTAGACATTTCAGCAAAACAGTCAACTGTATACAGCAATTTTCGCACCTATCAGATAAATGTAGTAACTTGTTTCTGTAATTGATTTTGAAGTAATTGTAAGGCCGAGAGGGGAGAAATAAAAAAATCTCGATGAACGATAATATGTAATATATATCGTCATCGTCTCCCTTGCCGTCTGGACTGCCGAGCGGTAACAATCAACGACATGTGGAAGCAGTTGAGTCAGAGATAGATGCTTCGTTTACAAACAACGCAACCGTTTATTAAACACGAAAGAAGCTTACAAGATTTCCGCGATCTTGGAAGTTCTGTGGCGGCTGCGGTCTCTGGGTCTTTCTCTCCTTTCCAAGATAGTCCCATTTTGAAGGAGTGTCCCTTGTTCGCGAATGAACCATTCCATCACGTCTTGACGACTCCGGGACGATGCGGTCGACTTCCGTTGATGGAAAGATGTCGATCCGAGGTCGGGAGATGGAGACGAAGATGGGTGCGAGACACACACACAACAACAGATCCGTCACTTGGAACTTTCGGGAGAAGAAGCCGTCGCGTCCT